TAGAACCTTAGAACGTATCCCCTACCATTCCATACTAATTACCATTTTATATCCACGGTTTCTGTATTCGCGGCATATTTATGGAACGTATACCCCGCGAATAAAGAGCTTTTACTGTAATAAACGCATAGAAAGCCTTCTAGAAATTTTTGAGCAACAATTATGTGAAAATAATATAGTTAGTAATTAATAAAAGTTTTTCGGAAATGCACAATATTTATACGGAAAAACGTAATGTTTGCTTAAGTTGTACCATGTACCATATATTACCGACATTCTAGGTTCATTAAAAATGTGTGTGGTACAAATGGTCATACGGCTGACGTAAGCATGATTAAAACGTATTTTCGTAAATAACTCCTTATTTTGAAACGGGTAATTCATAATCCATTTCCTAAGAATTACCTTTAGGAATTGCACAAGTGTCTTAACATTAAGGTATTGGGAAACTTTTGGTGGCTTGAAGTTTGAAGTCCATCTCGGGTCGAAAAAATTTCAAACTGTTAGAAAAATTGCAGGTCATTTATTAATTAGGTGGGACCACGTATAAACACGTCGTAAATAACTTTCGTGAAGACGAACGGGACGAAGAAACCGAAGAAGAGGAAGGTGCCACGGACGGCCGAGTCCTTAAAAGATTTCGGGTTTGCCATTGACCACCTCTCTGACATCTGTATAATAAGTGTAATAAATGGCTAACATACATCACAGCGCCAAACGTTTATTTATACTTTTATGCCTTTACTTCGCTGATGAGCAGGCATCAGAAGCGATTCTGAAGGAAAAAAAAACAACTAAAAAACGATTATATTTAAGAACACGGTGTACTTTTTTATTTCAACCCCCCCTCCACCAAATTTCGTTTTGTTAATATTTTAATAAAATTGTGAGGAATCGAAAATTTAGGAATAACGAATTTCAAATCTTTAGAACCAGGTATTGAAGTAGTTACTAGTAATGGTGTAAATAGTTTTTTACTTTAATTACTGACAGCAGTCCTCTTGACCGATGAATATGTTTGAAAATAAAGCAATAATAGATTTTAGGGAATGATTCTCTGGAACGTATGAATATTGGAAACTTGGACAGTGCAGCAGAAGACTGCACTTATATTTTTCTTGTGCTTTTGTTTTGTTTATTATGAAGATTATATAATTTAGCATATTAGAAACAAAAACAGGATAGGAAAGGGGGGGTAGTGCGTGTCCAGTCAGCACTAACGACCCCTATGACTATGATGATGAGGAGATAAATACAGTTAAGTGGATGTTTGGAGCATGGCTCCAACTAGAAATGAAATGTGGGCAGTGGACGCAGCGGAAAAGAAAATGTTAGAAGTGTTTGAGATGAGGTGTTATAGAAAGATGTTCAAAATACTGTAGATAGAATAGACTTTCTAGACTTTAATTATAAAGACAAATCGTTGCTAAGGTCTGCATCCTGAAAACTGGTTGGACATGCAACTCCACTTCTTCATGTCTTGAGCTAATCTTCACATTTCTCAAAACGAAGAAAGTAATCTGATCTAAGTCTTCCTTCGCCCCTAACTGCTATTTCTGCTTCTAATATATTTCCTCTAAGTAACCCTTCATGTAGAAGAAGGTGTCCTACAAAATTTTCTCGCCTGTTTCGTATTGATTTTCGTATAGACCTCTGATCTCCTATTCTTCCTCATATTTCCTCATTTTTAACCTATTCTATCCACTGTATTTTCAGACACGTCTAAAATTTTCTTTTTCGCAGCGCCCACTATCAATATTTCACTTCTATTCGGGGCCATACTCTAAACATACATTTAATCGTACTTATCTTCTCGTCATTATCATCATCATAGGGGTCGTCAGTACCGATTGGACACGCACCTCCCTTCTTTCCTACCTTGGCATATCCCTAACTATTTGTGCAAAGTAATGTAAGTCTAAAATGCCTCTAACTAGCTCTTCATGCCTGACAAAATATCCAACAACCCTATCTTTTATTGATTTCCATAGTGATCTCTGTTCTCCTACTCTAATACATTAATATTTCACATAAATATTTGACCTCTACAACGTTGATAAGAAGATATATACAGTTAAGTGTATGTTTGGAGAACGGCTCCAAATTATGTGAGCGTTGTGGAAAAGAATGTTCAAAAGTGTTTGAGATGTTACAGAAAGATGTTCAAAATACTGTGGATAGAATAGGTTAGATATGAGACGATATTAGAGNTATCTCTGCATCAGTTACCTAATGCCTAATGCAATAAGTTAATAAATATAATAAAACAAAGACATTCACGGATTTCAGGTTCGTCCGAAAGCCCAAAAATGAGCACATCAACAAATAAAATGACAAATGAACATCAGGAACAAATGATATCTTCTTGTAGCATTAACAATAACAACAACAACAACAGCAACTACAGTGGTCCTACATCGAAAAGAACCCAAAAGCAAAAGCTTTTCTTGTACATTCCAAAACTGATAGAATCGGGTAGTTTTTCAAAACAAAAAATGAGTTCAAACTTCGACAAAATAACCGAGGAACGCTCAAAGAAATTTCCGCAGTCTCCCCATCAACCGACAACGAACGCGTCAACCATTAAATCTATTAACACCAGTGCTACGATTGTCGACATGTCGGGTGCCCTAATGGACAATAAAACAATAAATGTAGCGGCTAATAGCTTGTTAAATCTAAATAAAAGAATTGCTCCAATCCCCCCGGTGAAAACGCCGCCGCCGCTAACGCCTTTATCGCCAGTGCAAAAAGTGCTGACAATGCCAACCACGATCTACGAAGAAGAAATTGAAAAATCGGGAAAAAGTCGCGCTACAATAACCGGCGGTAGTTGCAAAGGGCATCAGGACGACGACGCCCTCGAAAGCATTTCCGAATCGCAGGTTTTGGTTACCCCCGACGAACAATCGACACCCCGGTTTCTGGTCCTTCCGCCCACCGGAAGTGTGTTGACATTAAACAAAGTTTCTCAGGACAGTGTCCGGTAAGTGGTAATTTTATATTTTTCTTAAATATAACAAGATAGGAGGGGATGGTTGGTGTTGCAACCCTGGTCTTGACATTATTGAAGACCTCTTCCTTTTTAATGATTCCATTGTAATTAAAAAGTTTACACTGTTTTTTAAAATGTTTCCGTAAAGGCATTTTTCCTCTGAATTGAAGTATTCTTTGTAATAAATATTAATCTACCCTTAAATAGATCCTTATGTATATATAACAGAGGATAGCGCAGGGTAGAGTTGCCTTTAACAAAAGGAAGTCATTTCTATGTTCGCGAACGGTTAATTTATGAATTCGAAAAAGATTGTTAAAGATATATGTCTAGAGTACGGCTCTGTATGATAACAAAAAGTGGACGGTGGGTGCGGCGGAAAAATAAAAGATTAGAAGCGTTCGAATGTGGTGTTACAGGCGAATGATGAGGATACCGTGGATAGAGAAGGTTGGAAATGAGGAGGTATTAGACAGAGTAGGGGAACACAGGACGCTATGGAATTCAATAAGAAGTCCAGGCAAGGTTTATTGGTAAGACACCTTCTCAGGCATGAACGACTAGTTAGAGATATTGGAAACAAAAACAATAGTTAAGAGGGGCAGACCTAGATTAGATTATTGATCACAAATGGTCAAAGATATGGAATGCTCAACATTTAGAGAAATGCCAAAGTCAAGTAAAGTTTTTAGATAGGTTTGATGGTTAAGGAATATTTGATG